AACCTTGCCAACATGGTAAAACCCCGTCTCTACTAAAAATACAAAAAGTAGCCAGGCATAGTGGCGGGTGCCTGTAATTCCAGCTACTCAGGAGGCTGAGACAGGAGAATCGCTTGAACCCAGGAAGTGGAGGTGGCAGTGAGCTGAGATCGAACCACTACACTCCAGCCTGGGCAACAAAAAGCAAAACTCTGTCTCAAAAAAAAAAAAAGAAAGAGTAAAAGACAGAGCGAGGAGTACTATGCCTATCACCAAAGAGGCTGGAAGGAGATAAAACAAGGACAAGGTCATGGTTAAAATGCACCCCATGCCTCTGTCTACAGAGAGGCCCCGGGAAACCTGGCAGAGCAAGTAGGGAGCAGAGACTGTTTGCCACAGTCAAGATATGAGAGGCAGAGCTGGCCCTTTTGCTCTGGAGAACTAGGAATGTGAGGTGGGTTCCAACAGGTCAGGAGCCAGATGCTGAAGGCTTTGACCTGGCACCCATCCCAGGTCTGGAGAGGACATTGATGGGGCCTTGAGGTCTCCTTTGTAGCTGCCAAGCTCAGCGCTCTAGGATAGAGAGGCAGTCAGCAAATCCGAGTCCTGGAATGAACAGCGTGCATGTTTGACACTTCCTCTGTGTTGTCACTATACAGGGCTACAGAGAGAGACGCCCTAACTTAAAGCCTGTCTCAACTAGGGAACGCTCCATGGCGCTACAGAAACAAACATGGACGTAGGGGCTGAATATAAACTGAAGACAGCTTTGCAAAGTTTTACAAACTTACCCAGCCACTTGCATTCAACTTGGCCAAAAATTCCCCATGACCTCACCCCATTTTATGAGCAGCTGTCCTGAAACTAATCCTGCCTCTTTCCGTAATCCCTCTTTCATGAGACTGAGAGAACACGTCGTGAGCCTAAAGCAAACACACCGACAGAGCCTTGCACTTCATAACTGGCATCACCACTGCGCCGCTCTAATGCGCTTGTCTAAGGCTCCACTACCAGAACGTAAGCCTGATTGCGTCTCCCGTGTCCACGGCTGGCCCTTGGCACCAAGCCTGGCACAGGCAGCACTCAGTGCATATTTGTTGGGTGCCCGCTGGCATGCTGCAAACACGGGAACAAGGAACAAGTTAGGTCTGGGAAATTACGTCCCTTCTGATGAAGGCTAAAGACAAGAAAATCTACCTGGAATTCCATCAGGTATGGATTGGGCATTTAAAAGAATAGAATCACTAAATGTTAAGTTTTTTGAACTGTCCCTCCTGCTCCTTCTCTCTCTCCAATATCCCACAAGGACAGGAATATGAAAAGAACCTACTGAAGAAATCACTCACATCACACTCTCAGGACTAGACGGAAACTTCACAGCAGAGCTGCCTACTCAGTGCTTCAGACTTTACAAGAGCCAAGTGGTTTTTCCAGCCTCTGGACACGATGAAAGAAACCACCTCTTCTCAGTGCATTTTAGATTGGGTGCTAAGACTTGTTCTCACAAATCACTTGCTCAATAAACACGTGAGCAACTCTGTGCCAGGCCATTGCAGAGCTCTGGAAATATCATGGTGAACACAGCTGACCTCGCCCAGGCCTCATGGGACCTTCAGCATTGCCATCCTACCGCTGCTGGTCCAGGGACACACATCAAATCGACCCCGTGAAGAGGGGTATCCATCGGAGCTGCTTCACAATAGAGGAGTCGTGGCTGAACCTGGGTCAGCAGCCACTGCACAAGCCCATCTGCCCTACTTGAGGACACCAGCAGGGTTGTCATGGATACGCCAATGAAGAGGAGATCTGAATTTAGGGGAAGCAGCCCGCACTTGGAGTTGACAGGTGCAGGTTCCAATCTCAAAGGGGCTCTCCTCCTTCCACAATTATCTAGTCAACTAGAGAGCATGGGCCTAGTCCTAGGGGAGCTTAGACAAGCTCCAAAATGCAAAACTATGGGCAGAGCGCTTGGCACACTGAAGGCCATCTTTCTTCCTCCCAGAAGTTAGTACTTCCAGGACTGATCCTGCTCTCCATAAAAATCCTCCCTGTTGGCAGACACATAGAAACAACCCCAAGGGTCAGGTTTTTAACTTGCCTGAAATCCTGTGGCTTCTCACATCCCTTTGTCTACCAAAAATAATAGAATGCTCTGGTGGCTGACCAATTAATCCAGAGAGGAAGTGAATTGATACCATGGGCTTTACTGGGCCCCCGACAATAGAAGCTTCCTAGAAAGGTCATAGATGGGGTTGGAATTTCCATTTGCCCTGGAACATAGGGCCTGGGAGATAAGACAGGGTCTCGACACCAATTCCAAGGTCCTTTCCATGCCATCTGCTGCCCTGCACAGTGTGCTACCAAGAGTGGGTACCTGTGGATTCTGCCCTGCCCCATAAGAAATCAGATCATTGTCAGGTTCAAGGCAGAGAATATGGGGGTGGCTTTAAGCCCCACCTCACATGAAATATTCCTTCATCCCCATCTGGCCTTGCCCAGCACGCTCCCATGTTCCCACATACATGCTCAATGCTGGGGACAGGCCCAGCTTAGCCATGCCGTACAGATCTGGGACACTGTTGTGGGATTTCCAAGCACCACAGTAGCTGGCTGAAGCCTTGGGTCCCTGGTGAGAGACAGAGGGAAGGGGATGTGTAGAGAAAGAGGAAGGCAGAGTTTTTCCTGATTACTTGACAAACATAAGCCCAGCCCTTAGCTTCAGCCCAGGCTCTGACAACATCAGGTCACAGTAAATCTCAGGTCCCTGTGTATTCCCCTTCCCCGGCTCTACCTCCCCTGGTTTCTGTCTTTCTACTCTTATCTGGCACTGACAATGTGCGGTCTCTGAAAATGTGCCATTTGTTCTAAAAGTGTGGGGATTTCAAAAAGCCTCCAAGTGACTCAATCGAGGCTGAAAAGAACCGCGTCGTCCAGATGTGTACATTTGCTTGGACCCAGCTCGCAGAGCACTTTAACAATCTTTTCACAATCGCTGTCCACATGGAGCAAGGCGGCAGGGCTGGCATTCCTTCTCCTAGATTCTCCTCTTCCCAGACACATTGTCAGTCCCTGGCTGGGATTCCAGCAGGAGAGCGGTGCTGCTCCATGAGACTTCTCCACTGCCTCTGTGGACCCCCTTTAAGACCCAAGGATCAAAATCCCTACCTCAGGGTACCCGTCTTGTTCTCCCTGTTCTATTACAAAAAAAAGACTAAGGGACTAGTCATACTGTGCTGGTCTCATTCCAAAGTGGCTCTTAGACTTGCTGTTGATAAAGTCGACAACTCCTCTCTGTTTAGGTTAGAGGGCTCCTGGGCCACCCCCAAATATCTGGCTTGCCCACATCTGCATTGTGCCTTTGTTTATGCAGATACCTCTTTGAAGGTTATTTTTTAATAGTCTCTTTCTTTTTTTTTTTTTTTTTTTGAGATGGAATTTCAATCTTATTGCCCAGGCTCTGGAGTATAATGGTGCTGTCTCGGCTCACTGCAACCTCCACCTCCCAGGTTCAAGTGGTTCTGTCTCAGCCTGCCAAGTACCTGGGATTACAGGCGCCCACCACCACACTTGGCTAATTTTTTTGTATTTTAGTAGAGATGGGGTTTCACCATGTTGGCCAGACTGGTCTCAAACTCCTGACCTCAGGTGATCCACCTACCTCGGCCTCCCAAAGTGTTAGGATTACAGGTATGGGCCACCACACCTGACCTCCTGCAGCCTCTTATCTGTCACACAGACTAATCTCCTTTAAGACGTGCTCCCAGGCCACATCTAGAGAGGCTGCAGAATGTGGAACTATTTGATGTCCTAATAGCCCCTGCCAACATGAAAATGATCAGCAGGCTCTGTCATGTCGCTGAGGTTAAACTTCAACTGTTTAAACGCCAACTGAGGAATTTGCAAATGGGTAAATACCATACTCTGTACAGGGAGCCAAAGAATCTGCTCAAAACAGCTGCTCAATATGTGTCAGATGGAGCCTTAGTTACAGAGCAACACAGACAGACTCACAAAATACATATTCTGATGTTTCATGAACCTACTACGTCAGGGAGGCTAATTGAAACAGCTCTCCTGCCAAGCAGAAAATTCCATATGGGTAGGAGATAAACAAAAAGAGGCTGTGGGCTGCGGAACATCAGAGGAAGCCAGGTCCCTCTGAGAGATGTAAGTTAAATATGTTTAGCATAACCTGAGATACCCCAGGCCTCTTGAGCTTGGACAGACAGATGAGGTTACATTAGGAATAATCTGCATTCCACTCCATGCCCTGGCTGCTGGTGATGGACTTCAGGCCTTAGTAAGGGCTCCATGTCTATTTCTGGGAGTGCCAGGGATGTCTCTTGGTTTCTCATGAACGAAGCTGCTCCTGGACCTGGTATTGAGAGGTTTTTCCCTTGGAGGGCAAAGTGGCAGTGGGAACCAGGGTGTCGCCTGCTGAGAAATGGAGAGCTCTTTTCCCCTGCACTTCTCTGAGGTTTGCCTTGTGGAGCTGAGTGCCTGGGGGAAAAGCTCCTGGCAGGACTCCAGCTGTTATTTGTCAGAGGACAGCTAGGATTGGTTCACCCATGCTCTGAGTTGGCCCCAGCGCAAGCTATGCTGAACTTTTCTCCATCTCCAAGCAGAAAACCTTTGTCTTCACATTCAAGAGGGATCCAGTTATGACAGGCTGACCAAGCTGGTTTCCTGGGTCTGTCTGAGAGATATAGGTGACAGAGGCTGGCCAGGGGTCGTGTTTTTCAAGCAGCTTCAGGAATGGGATCACTCAGAACCCAGCTGAGAGCTAATTTTCTCTTGGCTTCAAAATCCATCCTATGTTTGGAGATGCTGGGGCTGGAATTCTACAAACCACATTCCAGCTTTGTGCCCTGATAGGCTCTGCCCACAGGGGACGCTAGCAGGAATCTGCAAGGCTAAAGGAGGAAGTAGGAAGTGGCTCCTTGTTCACTTCCTGTTTGCTTCCTGTTCACTTTCTATCAGCTTCCTGTCTGTGCCAGGAAGGTTACTAACCCTAGGAGCGCTTTTTCTTAACCAGGGCAGTGGCAACTCCTTCCAGAAAGATTTCAATGCAGTTTTTGGTTTTCCCAACACTCACAAAAGCAGCCTCATGGTGGTCCCCTCAGAGACACCAACAAAAGAGCTCCCCCCATTCAAAGGCCAGGGAACCATCCCCACAGGGACTCTCCTCGGAACTCAGAGACACCAGCTGGAGTTGTGCGGCATCCCCACTCCCCCACCTCAGAAGTCTGAGATTCAGTCCTGTATCCTGTCTTCAAGCAACTACATTTCAATGAGTCTGGCATCTTCCCCTTGTTACTGAGCCTCAAGTGTGATGCCTGCTCCCTGTGGTGCTACCTCCATGGATACCTTTGTATTCCCTTCCTGCCCTTTTCCATCACCTGGTTAATCATTATTTGTATTAAGTTATCTCCAATAAAATAGCTGGCATGATATCTGTCTCCTGCCTGAACCCAGACAAATCACCCATATTTTGGTGCTGAGCATCTGTGGCAGAGACTGGAGTCAAGCACCGCCCAACCCCTCCAGACAGCAGTGTGGGAGAGCACACACCCACCCACCTACAGCCTACATTATGATCTGGTTTCTCTCGGCCAAGCTCTGCATGAGCAAAAGCAAGTTCAGATTTAAAGGACACCATGAAATGCACGGCCAATAGGGCTTAATTGCTGTACATTCTTGAGGGATGGCTGCAGGGACCCCTGGCTAAAAACATTGTGTGTTTCTCCTTGTTGGTCATTAGCAAACTGTAGGGAGCATCCTCATCACAGGCTTTCGGGCAAAGATGATCTTGTTATAGTTTTCAGTGGGGCCATCTCTGGAATCTGTATGTAAGTTCGTGGGTTCTGGCATCATGGTAGGAGCCATGGTCGATATTGAATAAGTGCCCCACATTGATAACGAGGATTCTGACAGCATGTCCCTGAACACAACTTCGCCAGAAGACTTGGACAACTTTCTCCTTTTCAGCTGAATGACGCTGGAAGGCTTATTCTTCCTGGATGCCCAGGAGCTTTCCTCGAGGGCAAGCATGCATTCCAGTTCTCTATTTTTGCTCTTCTCAATGAGTCTTTTCACTGTCTGAGAGGTGTAGGTGACAGAGGCTGGCCAGGGGTCGTGTTTTTCAAGCAGCTTCAGGAAAAGTCCAGTGTTTTCTGTGAGTCCTACCAGCAAAGAGAAATGCAGGCCTTTTAGAGGCAGTCACATACAATAGCTCAATTCTTCAAAAAATGAGAAGGCATTGGAATCAGATTGTGACATCCTCCCTATTTTGCACCCCTTGTATTCAATGAGAATAAAATCCAATTCAATGTGGGGGAACAGAATGACATCCTAGAAAGTATATCAATTAAACAACGACAGAATGGTAAGAACCAAGAGACAGAATCAAGCAGACTTGATTGACTTTAAATATTTGCATAACCTCAAATTGTTTTACCCCTGAACTTCTAATTTTTTTCCATCAATAAAAATGGTTAGTCTGAAGACTAAAGAAAGTAAAGGGGCTTGGAACAGTACAGCTTGGTGCTTGAAAGCATGGGTTTTGCACTTGGCTGCTCCAAATTCCTACGCTACCCTCTTTATAACTGTGAACCTTGAGGAAGTTTCTTAACCTTGCTAAACTTCAAGTGCCTCATCTGTAAAATGGTGATTAGAATAAGACAAAGTTCATGGAGCTTTCTTGTGGATTAAGGATAACCTATGTGTTTTTAGCACAGTACTTGACATGTAGTAATCAGTAAATGGTAGCTAAAACTTTTGGCTATGTCTCCCAGCCTAAACTATTTCATTTAATCCTAGTTACACCTAATAAGGTAGGTATTCTCCCCATTTAATAGAGGATGAAACTGAGGCTGACTAGCTTGCACACCCAACAGGTAGTGGGTTTGAATTCAAGCTTAACAAGGCTCAAAAAAAAAGTTTTTCACTATGATTGCTGGTCGGAAGTTTGGGGTGTTTGCCGAAAGGGGTGGGTGTTGCTAGAAATTCAACCCACTAGTTTAAGCAGCCTGTTCCTTTACAGATGCAAAATCATGGGCGTGTTGGTCCTTCCCATCTTTCACTTGCAACATCACTACCTAGCAGAAATGACTCAGTCCCTCTCCTGCAATTGCTACCTTCCCCTGTGTTCTTATGTGATGCATTCTTTCCCTAATTCTATATTTCTTCAATTGGAGTTTTGCAGGGAGGGGAGTTGAAAGAGTCATCTTGCCATCTCCAAACTGAATGCAGTAAAAAAAAAAAAATGCTGTAAATAGGGATAATCAAGTGAAGATGTAGGTCGTATAGTTACTCCCAGGCTGCCTTGTGGGTGTCCAGGAGCTGGAGTTTGTCTGAGGATAGATCTATCAGTAAAGAACATGCCTTAGAAGGCTTCCATCTCCCTGCAAAAGTCATGTGTGATATTACCTCTCACTAGAAAATTCCCAGAAACACCTCTAAGCACAGACTATTCACCCTTGCCTCCTCCAAACAAATGTAAAGATCTTGTGGGATAGGACATTTGCATGAATCTGACAGAGTTCAAACTCAAATGCTTCAAATGCCTGGAGCAAAATGAACCGCAACCCCCTTCCATCTCCTGAACATGCTGTGTTCTCTGCCAGCATAACAAGAGTGGCTGTCCAGTGTGGCCTCTTCCCACTGCGAATCCTCCAACCATAGCCAGTCCCAGTACAGGAGCTTCCACTGGTAATGGTCCCAATCCTACCTTCTTCTTTCTTCATCCTTCTTGCATCCATCTTCTTTTTAATATTTACTGATTTCTTAATATAGGTCCAGATTCCTATGGGAAAATATACTTGTTAGCCAGAGCCTCCTCAAACTGGCCTGAGAGGAACAATTAGTAGCTACCGTGGGGGGTCCAAGTCCTATGGTCTTTGCATGAAGCTAAGACGACTTCACCTCCTGAGAAGAGGACACATTTTCTGTGGAGCTGGAGACAAGCCAGGTGAGCCCTGCCAAGTCTTGTAGGCATGCCTTTGCTCAAGAGCAGTGGACTGTCATGACAATCTCTGGGTGTCCTGCTTTCCAGTCTCCTAGTTTTAAAGCCTAGAGTGCTGGGCAGGCTGGGGGCTGTGTGGAGACAGGTCCACAGAGGGGAAGTGAAGAAAAAAAAGTCCTCATTTCAAAACCTTGCTATCTCCTCTACCAGAGTCCAAGTGTGGTCACATTACTACAAGCTCAACTTCCAACCTGCACCTCTCAGCCTGGAATCAGGGAGAGAATGTAGCAGAGATGCGCAGCTGCCAGGAGTCAGCTACCAGGGCTTCAAGCCCAGGCTGAAACAAGGAAGTCTTAATGCTCTATGCAGCCATGCTGGGAGGAATTCTGATGGAAACCACGGTGTAGCGGTTCTCAAACTTGAAGCTGCATCCACCTGGAGAGCCTGTTAAAGCACAGATTGCTGGGCCCACCTCCAGAGCTGCTGGTTTAGCAACCACTGTTTTAAACCAAAATGGGGAAAGAAAAAGAAAATACTGGAGATCTGTAAGATTACATTATTAACTACCTAGAAACAAGAAATGGGTCCAGGAGACCTCTTTGGTTCCTTTCCAGCTCTAAGACACATGCACATATCTAAGAGTTCATTATGTTTCTATGTTCAATTTTGCCATCTCTGTGGCCTTTAAGCACTTAAAAGTGCCATCAAGCATTCCCACTATTACCTACAAATGCCCATTGAAAAGAGTCTCCGATGCTTTTGAACAGCTCCTAGATGATGCTGGTGCTTTTGATCTGGAGACCACACTTTGAGAACCATGGATCTAATGCTGGGCTTCTCAAATTTTGGCAAGTACTAGAATCACCTGGAGACCTTCTGCCACCACAGATACCCAGGTTCCATCTTAGAGGTTCTGATTCAGTGGGTCTTTTCTGAGGACCTGAGAATTTCCATCTCTAAGTAGCTCCTAAATGGTGCTGATGTTGCTGGTCTGTGGTTCATACTCTGAGGAGCCCTGGTTTAGACTGAGTAGTGGGTGCTCAGCCTTTTTATCAGCTGCCACATACGTGAGGGCTCTTTTCTTCATGGAACACTCCTCCAAGATAAGCAGTTCCCAGGTTTGTCATCCCTCTTTTTCCCTAATCAAGGAACTATTGTGCAATGAAAGTGAGTGTGGCACTGATAAGGGCAACTTTAAATTCCACTGTTTTTATAAAGTAAATTATTCACATATTTTAGGATTTTGTTATAACCCTTACAATAAAGGATGGCAACCTGGAGATTTATTCACTCTCCAGAAAAAAAAAAAAAGCCTGTTTTTTTGTCCAACCTATTTAGAGCCAGATCTTATGGAGTCCCTGCTGTGGGTATCAGTGGTCATCTTCCACACCAGTGCAGTTCTAGAAGAATTCACAATGTCATTATTCTGAGGCCAGGGAAAAATAAGGCTCAAATAGTCATTTAATCTAGAGTTTCACATCATAATTTTTTTTAATTGTAAGGTAAAACATCTTAGTTCTCTTTCTAAGACCTACCATAGGCCTCAGAATTTAAAGTCACCCATTCCAAGTCCCCATAGAGCATGGCATGCAAGTAGCCACCCAACCTGGGCCTGTCTACCTCTAGTGAAGAGAGTATTATTTTCTTGTCTTCCATATTTTAGCACTGTGAGACATTTCTTCATCACAAGGTCGGGTTACCCACGAAGGGAAGCCCATCAGACTAACTCTCTGCAAAACCCTGCAAGCCAGAAGAGAGTGGGGGCCAATATTCAACATTCTTAAAGAAAAGAATTTTCAAATCGGAATTTCATACCCAGCCAAACTAAGCCCCATAAGCAAAGGAAAAATAAAATCCTTTATAGAGAAGCAAATGCTGAGAAATTCTGTCACCATCAGGCCTGTCTTACAAGAGCTCCTGAAAAAAGCACTAAACATGGAAAAGAAAAACTGGTACCAGCCACTGCAAAAACATACCAAATTATAAAGACCATTGACACTATGAAGAAACTGCATCATGCTCACGAGCAAAATAACCAGCAAGCCTTATAATGACAGGATCAAATTCATTTATAATTTAACCTTAATTATAAATGGCCCAAGTGCTCAAATTAAAAGACACAGATTGGAAAATAGCAAAGACTAGGAAACAACTCAAATGCCCATCAATGATAGACTGGAAAGAAAATGTGGCACACGTACACCATGGAACACTATGCAGCCATAAAAAAGGATGAGTTCATGTCCTTTGCAGGGACATGGATGAAGGTGGAAACCATCATTCTCAGCAAATTAACACAGGAACAGAAAACCAAACACCATGTTTTCACTCATAAGTGGGAGCTGAACAATGAGAACACATGGACACAGAGAGGGGAATGTCACACACTGGGGCCTGTCAGGGGTGGGGGGGCTAGGTGAGGGACAGCATCAGGAGAAATACCTAATGCAGATGATGGGCGGATGGATGCAGCAAACCACCATGGCAAGTGTATACCTATGTAACAAACCTGCACGTTCTGAACATGTAGCTCAAAATTTAAAGTATAATAATATAAATAAATAAATAAATAAATGTCTTCATCTCCTAATCTGTAAAATAGGATGCCAGATGGTGGAAATACGTTTCAGCTGGCAATATATTTGGGGGATTTGGGAGTCATTCCTCTTTTATCCTTGCTTCTAAGTTTCTAGTTGATGAACCCTGAATCCTTGGGAAAGCCTGGTCTCATCAATCATTTGTTTGCACAATTGTGTGCATCTGTATAACCCACCATCCTGCTCAGAGCCTCTGGCCAGGACTCATCTGACCCCTACAGCCGCACCATGTGGCTGATAGGACAATTCTATGAATGGTGGGTTCTTCTCATACCTGCTGAAGCAGGGACTAGGAAACTATAAAAAGAACCAAGGGAGAAAGCGTTTGAGATTGCCTCAAAACTCACGGGGAGGACTTGTTTGTTTGAAAATAACAGGAGACAAATAGTTGACATTAAGTCTGAAGAGAAGCTGTGGGCTTTTATAATTTCCTTCAATTCCAGCACAAAGGTTCCATTTTGTGTCCCTGTAAATGAAATGCAAACCAGCAGTCTACAGACAGAAACGGCATTGACGGGAGGGGCAGGAGGCAGAGTGTTGAAGCGGCTTTCTTGTTTCTCCTACAGACACAAAGCCATGTTCAGACCACTCTTTCAGGGCCGGCTCCCCACTCCCCCACTCTATCACTCATCCCACCACTTTCAGAATCTAGTCTGATAGACCGAGTTTGTAAGTTTGTAATTCAGTTACCTGGAACGTGAAACAATCTTTCAACCTTGATAATCTTCCTTAACTTCTTAGGACTTCAGTTATCACTTACAAAATGAGGATAAGAATGAACTCCTGTCCCAGAGAGACACAATTTTATTGTGTTTTGCTTTGTTTTACGTTTTTGAAACAGGGCCTCACTCTGTCACTCAGGCTGGAGTGTAGCGGCACAATTATAGCTTACTACAGCCTTGAACTCCTGGACTCAAGCAATCCTCCTGCCTCCTGGGTAGCTGGGACTACAGGCATATACTACCATACCTAGGTAATTCTTTTTTTTTTAAGTAGAGAAAGGGGTCTTGCTATTTTTCCCACTCTGATCTCAAACTCCTGGGCCCAAGCTATCCTCCCGTCCCTGCCTCCCAAAGTGCTGGGATTATAGGTGTGAGCCACAAAACCTGACCCACAGTTGTTTTAAAAATGTCTGGAAATTGCTTTCTTTGCCATGTCTACTGCAAGAATGAACACCATTCTCAACAATCGGACTGTCAACATTCCAGAAAATGTCAACATTACTCTGAAGGAAGGGCTGCACAATTATTGTGAAGGGCCCCAGAGGAACCCTGTGGAGGGACTTCAATCACATCAATGTAGAACTCCGTCTTCTTGGAAAGAAAAGAAGAGGAGGCTTCATGATGACAAATGGGGTAACAGAAAGGAACTGGCTACCGTTGGGACTATTTGTCGTCATGTACAGAGCATGATCAAGGGTGTTACACTGGGCTTCCCTTAGAAGATGAGGTCTGCATAAGCTCACTTCCCCATCAGTGTCATTATCCAGGAGAATGGGTCTCTTGTTGAAATCTGAAATTTCTTGGGTGAAAAACACATCCGCAGGGTTTGGAGGAGGCCAGGTGTTTCTTGTTCAGTATCTCAAGCCCAGAAAGATGAATTAATCCTTGAAGGAAATGACATGGAGCTTGTCTCAAAATCAGCAGCTTTGATTCAGCAAGCCACAACAGTTAAAAACAGGAATATTAGGAAATTTGGGGATGTCATCTATGTATCTGAAAAATGAACTGTTCAGCAGACTCGTGAATAAGATCCAAGAGTTGTCCAGCTACAGAAATAAGGCGGTGGATGATTCCTAAGACCTACTTGTGATGTTTAAATGATGCAGTAAAAGACCTATTGATATGGAAAAAAAATTGTGTTTGGAAAGTAAAATGCTTCCAATCCAATGGTACCCAAACTCTGCAGTACATTGGAATTACTAGGGATCTTGGAAAAATACAAATGCAGGCTCCCACTCCCAACATGGTGATTTGACTGGAATGGGATACAGTACAGGCATTGGAATCAAAAGTTTCCCAGACGATTTCTCTGTGCAGCAAAATTTGGGAACTGCTGTTCTAGAATTTAAAACAAAAAACACTGCAGATTTATAAAACAGTATTATTAACCACTTAGAAACAGAAAACGAGCTGGGCACAGTGGCTCATGCCTGTAATGCCAGCACTTTAGGAGGCCAGGGCAGTGGTTAACTTGAGGCCAGGAGTTCGAGACCAGCCTGGTCAGCATGGTGAAACCCCGTCG